ATAACGGGTCGGGTGTTCTGTTGTGTACTGCGGATGCAGGTTTACCTAACAGGACCCGTGCAGGACTCTGCTTTAAACTGCTTTGCGTCTCTCCGTCAGATAACCTCACGTGCATGATGCGCCATTTACGGGTATTCCCCGGTATTTCCCTAAACCGACACACATCAATTTATTTATTTTACGAAAATGTTTTTTGAAATATCGGAAATGTGTTTAAAAATCATATCACCGTTATTGAAAAAAATTATATCGTGATACATATTGATATTGAATTATTATCCAGCCCTATGTTTTTGTTTCCTTCAGATGTTGTCATGGCAACATGCACAGCTTTAATGATAGACTGTTGGATTCAATTATCGCTCTGTGTGTGTGTGTGTGTGTGTGTGTGTGTGTGTGTGTGTGTTCTCTAATGTTTGTGGAATTTAGAATTTTCAGTTTAACTTTGCCATAATGTCACTGTATGAGTAATTCAGTCCGCATCTGTTTAATTCAAGGCCATGTTCTAATCCAGTTCTCAGTGCTTGTCTATTAGAGGATCAGGTACCTGACAGGTGTAGTGTCAGTTCGCTAAGCATCGGATGACTTTTTGAAACTTTTCTTTTTTTAACACCGTTGTAACAAAAACACCAAATGTTGCAGTGCTTTTTGCACATGTTAAGATGTCATTAAGCATGCTGCTTTTATTTATTTTTTGTCCAGTTCACAAGAAACCCCTCCAAGAGGTTGAAATTGCTGCCATTACCCACGGTGCCTTGCTAGGACTGGCTTACCTACATTCCCATAACATGATCCACAGGTGAGTCGCCCTCTGAATGATATCCGTTTACACAGTGTCAGCTTCCTCTGTGTGCGTAAATGACAGATAAATCTTTATCTGATAATCTGTTTATTAAGCAAATTGCTTTACAACTTGGGTTTTATGTGCTTTTATGCTTACCATAAAGCAGTGCTATTTTTGTTCCCCCATATTTTTGTTTGCAGTGACTGTATATACTTTGCAATTTATTTTGTATTTTTGTTTTTTCCCCAAGCATCGGTCTGACTAGAATGAGTAGAAATGGATTGCATTAATTTTATATTATACTCTGCATGTTTTAAAGCAACAAATCGTGATGATTAAAGTAAAGTACTAATCTATGACAGATCTGCATATGTCAGCATCCCGTTTATTCAGCATGCTTTAACTGCTTTACAACATGAGTGTTGAGTTCTTATCTGTGTTTTATTAGCTTCCAGTAATACAGTGCTATTTATACTTTTGTTTTAAGTTCCTCCATCAGATCTCAAACCTGTACTAAACTTGTATAAAATGGCAAATTAAATGGGACAACTATGTCAATAATAAGCTAAATGAAGTCGACCTAATCATAAATGAACATTTTTTTTTTTGTGTGTGCAAATTTTCGTTGTGTAGACATCAAGTGTAGACACGACCAGACTGTTTTGCACAAGATGCTGAATTGGTCATTTTAGACTTACTCATTTGTTTTTATTGAAAGGTACCACCAACATGTCATTTTTGTCAGACCCCTCTGTCTATAAAGCATGTGTTGTTGGAATGTACTGCTTTAAATGCCACTATGCAACTTTTTTACTCGGGAGGTTCTTTAATTAATGTTTTTTAATGTTTAATAATCAGAAGTTTTATCAGATATTGAAATGTAAAATCTTATAAAGAGCTTGTTATATTGGTTGTTTTTCATTACTACTGTGTTGCTGCTATTTGTTTCTTTTAAAATACATTGATCTTGGCATAAAAATAGCCATAGATGCTGGTATGGCTATAAAATAAACACACAAATAAATATATAAATGCTTCTTTTTTTTGCTTCCAACACTGACCAGACCATTTATATTAAATATCAAAGCCTACTTTGAATATCAAAAGAGCACATTTTTTTCTTCAAATTTAGAGTGTGTACTCTTTGGTTTCAGGGTTTAAAGTACTAAACCAAAGTACCATTGTAGTTGAAGCACCAATCCATGACGCATATATCAGCATGATCGCATATGTCAGTATACTGTTTATTGAGCATACTTTATTTAACTGCTTTACAGCATGCAAGTTCTTATGTGTTTTATTAGCTTCCAGTAACAAAGTGCTATTTCTACTTTCATTTTCTCTCAGCATTTTATTTTTTATTTTATTTTTATTTTATTTAAAAAAAAAATATTGTATTATTTATTTTATTATTTATTTTTTTTATTTTATATTATTTTATTATATATATATATATATATATGTTTTTTTTTTTTTAAGACTATTATTTTATTAGAGTAGAATTGTATCTAAAGTAAAGTACATGTTTCTAAATGAATCCAATATTTATTTATTTATTTATTTGTTTTCTCATTTATTTATTTATTTTTTAATTTAATTTAATTTAATTTAATTTTTTTATTTTTTTTATTTTACCCGAGACACCCTTTCATTGCATAACATGGTAATATGCTCCTACAGTGGGTCTATATATACTGTCTGTCTTTAACTTTCTCTGTGTCTGTGTCTGTGATTTTGTTTAGAGACGTGAAGGCTGGTAATATCCTGCTGACAGAGCCCGGTCAGGTCAAACTGGCTGATTTTGGCTCCGCTTCCATTGCCTCTCCTGCCAACTCTTTTGTGGGAACCCCATACTGGTCCGTATCGCAGACACTGATGTTCAGGAAGATGATGCATCCTGATGCTCCAGGGTTAATTAGACTGTTGTGTGTGTTTCTACCACAGGATGGCTCCAGAAGTGATTTTAGCTATGGATGAGGGTCAGTATGAGGGGAAGGTGGACATCTGGTCTCTGGGGATCACTTGCATAGAGCTGGGTGAGTGTCTTCAAGTTTTTTTATTTAATATTTCAACCATTTCTTTTTTTCGTTAAAAAGTTGGTCCTGTGAATTTGCCAAGCTGACCAACAGAAAGCTGCTTGGTTTGAAAGTGACTTCTGTATAAGCAGTGTTTCATTCATCGCTACACTATTGACAGTCATAGACAGTCATAGTCATATAGATTTTACTCATAATTCTATATGACTGTGCTCTTTATATGTCATTTGTATCTTGTATTTATTACAACATAAATCAAGCGTAGTAGATGAAAGCGGTGGAATAATTAGTACCATTATCTACTATTGTAGTGGACAGATGTGATGTTTTGGTGTAAAAGGAAAATTTTCAAGTGTGCACTGCATTGGCAAAGTGTGCACTTTGCAGCAAACAAAATCCAAGTATTGGAAAGTACAACTTCATAAAATTGTCTTTTTTTTTGCATTAGAGAACTGTCATGTGCTTCCTTGTTGAGTACATACTTATAATATGTGCAATATGCAAGTAGCAAATGTGACCCTGGAGCACAAAAGCAGTGTTAAGTCACTGGGGTATATTTGTAGCAATAGCCAACAATACATTGTATGGGTCAAAATTATTGATTTTTCTTTTATGCCAAAAATCATTAGGATATTAAGTAAAGATCATGTTCCATGAAGATATTTTGTAAATTTCCTACCGTAAATATATCAAAACTTAATTTTTGATTAGTAATATGCATTGCTAAGAACTTCATTTGGACAACTTTAAAGGTGATTTTCTCAATATTTAGATTTTTTTGCCTCAGATTCCAGATTTTCAAATAGTTGTATCTCGGCCAAATATTGTCCTCCTATCCTAACAAACCGTACATCAATGGAAAGCTTATTTATAAATCTCAATTTCGGAAAAATTGACCCTTATTACTGGTTTTGTGGTCCAGGGTCACATATTACTCTGATGACATACTGTAGTTTTGAACACACACACTCTTTAAAATTAAGGTTCCAAAAGGGTTCGCAGCAATGTGAACAGTTTTTAAAAGAACAATTTTTTTCTTAGTGTAAAGAATATTTCTAATTATCTGTGCAACCTTTTTTTCCCAATATAAAGACCTTTTGGTGCAATGCAAATGTTCCATGGATGTTAAAGTTTCTTCATGGAACCATCAGTGCCAATGAAGAACCTTTATTTTTAAAGTGTGCTACACCTAATATTGCATGCTATACAAGACGAACTGGGATTTAGTCTAAATATTGACATGTTTGAAATAACTCTGCTGTTGATTAGCATATGCATGTATATTTATTCACAATCTATGCAATATGTCACAAATTTTCTGTTTGAGAATTTCAGCACGTTTGATGATTTCTTACACCTCGGCTGTTTTCTAGCTGAACGTAAGCCTCCTCTCTTCAACATGAACGCAATGAGTGCCTTATACCACATCGCCCAAAACGACTCTCCCACCTTACAGTCCAATGAGTGGTGAGTGTCCTTCCACAGCCACAAAACAGAAGTTGACTCACTCGTATAGAGATATGTATATATACTCCTACTCATCAAACATATATATACTCTCTCAACCACACTCTCCTCTCACACTTTAACTCTTATGCAATAACCCTAACCCCGACTGTCAGTTCTTTACAATTCCTGATCTTGTGCATTATTGCACAAGCAAACTTTCAGTGCCCTTCAACTCTCTGACCTGCAGCAAAATGAAAGCCTGCTGGTCTTTCAAGCAGTGTTGCCTTTCGTTGATAGATCTGGAAATTGAAAGGCTGTCTGAATGAGCCAGAATATTGCTGAGGGTGTAAAAGTTACTTCGGTGACCAACTTTTATTGATTTCACAGTTTTTATATGGAGGAGATATGATTTTTACACACACACACACACTCTCACACACTCACACACACACACACACACTCACACACACTCACACA